CCCCAAAACCCCAAAACCCCAAAACCCCAAAACCCCAAATCTCTCTCTCAGCATTGAACTCAGTATAATCCTGTTGTACATAAATCTACATCTACTGCTTCTCTAATAATTTCTTGAGTAGCTCCTTGGTGTCCTTATTAGTCTTTTCATCTTCTATTACCTTCTCAAGACGTGTTTTTTCTACCTTGAACCCTTCTCCATTGATGAACTTTTGCATTAACTTGTTATTTCTCATGATTATCCCTCGAATAGCGAGATTTAATAGAAATGGGTAAAATTGGATTTCTGTGCTGTATGTAAAGACTTTTCCTCTCATCGTGCAACGTACATACTTTGATGAACTCATTGATATGAGATAATAGTAGTGCGTCCGAAGAGTATTTAAATAATAAGTTCGAAAGAACCTTAGTCTCAAGGAACTTTATGGCACAATATTGGTCTTTACATAGTTCTATCATACTTCTAAGTGCTAACACTCTTATTTTCTCTGAATTTGAGTTAAGATCCTTCAAAATATTGATAGTTCCACTAGCGTCTTTTGTGACAAACTCTTTTTCTAACTGAAAGTTGCCTTTATTAAGGTCTAGTAGCTGAATCAGGAAACCATATGCTGTTATTTTGTCCTCTAAACTCTTACTGAAATTGAGGATAACTCTTATGATGAACATGAGAGTTCCTAATTTCTTGCCTCTTTCTAAGATCTCCTTTTCATCATTTATCTGTTTATTTAATTCTATCAAACTCTAGAGTCTGAGTGTAGAGAGCGACTATGTCATCCAGTAGGATCTCAGTCAGGTCTGGAACTCTTTTATTCAAATCCATTTGGTCACCCTTCTTAGATTTCTCATCTACAATAAACTCTCTGTGGTGTGTGATTAAGGATTTTAGGATAATATTTAGAGAATTAAGAGCCTCTAGCTGGAGAACAACATTCATTTCCCCGTAAAGCTCAACTATTTGAGAAATGTTGAGGATTATAGCATATACTTGTCCCTTGGTGACCATTCCGTTTGTAGTCAGATATGCGAACTTGAATTCTTCTTCCTTCAAAAGAGAAAGTTCCTCAGCAGAATCTCTGGGAGGGAAGTAAGATAAGAAAGCCTTCCTCATCCGTAGGTAAAACATCTTTGCAAATGTTTGACCAGGAATTGCACTTCCATGAAACTGTATAACTACATTATTAGAATTCAAGACTTACGGAGAAGAGTAATCATTCATACAATAAAGGCTGATTTCCACAAAATATTGATCGAGTCACTTCTCATTCTTCGTTCTATAGATTTGATAAGCAAACTTTACGATTGAGCCTTGAAATTGTTTGCATCCCCTTCTTTCCATAGCCAATTGGGTTGATATCTCCTCTTCTAAGCTTAAAGTACTCTTTAAATTTTGAACCTTGTGGTTTTTTATTAAAAAGACTAAAGTTTCTCAGACATGGCCATTGTGGTCGGGTCATTGATGCTTGCCTTCTAATTGCCATCATTCTCCTGCTTAACATTTTTGTGATCAGAAATATATTTATTATTTTAGATCCATATGGGGTTTTGGGGTTTTGGGGTTTTGGGGTTTTGGGG